TCCATAACTCGTAATACCCATACTCTATTACTTCCATAATACCGCAGTCAGTACAACAAAAATTCTTTTCAAGCTCATGCAACACCAACCATAAAATACCTCAATCATCCGCTAAGCTTGCATTTATTCTCTTGACAGTCAAGTTAACTTTCTCAATCAAATTCAAATTTAAATCTCAATACATACACCCCGCTAGTAGAAAAGAAACTCTCTACTCAACATTATAAGGAGCACACCTCCGTAGATTATCCCACATGAGATAACCCACGTGCTTAGCCAAAACTTGGCATCTTGATATACCCTTTCGTAACCACAATCACTGCGCGATCACTTAATCTTCTTGAGTTTGATCTCATCAACACGACATGAAAATATACTTTGCTCCACAATTAAATTGCATGACAGATCCTTCAACACACTCACAACTCGAGACCGTACGTCTCATCAAAACGGATATCAAGCACCCAATGGCCCTTTTTTTTACATCTTAAGGAAATACTTCTCGTCACATTCAAACCATCTTAACACATCCAGCAGTCACATCATACTTATCATATAGACATTCAACCACTCATCGAGCCATAAATTCCACTCATAGGGACACTACCAAATATATGAGTCCAAATGTACAAGTTCACACAACTAAAGCTGCCGAGTCTATGCTGTGGTTTAAACCTGGCGTCAAGTCCTCCAGGCTGGCCTATCACCAAAATACAGAATACACATTTTGAACCTCGTTCATGGAATCACAAGCTGACGATGCACAACTGATACCGAGCGCTCACATGCGCACACGAATGCGTGGAAGGAATTCAAAGAATTGTGTTTCAAGCTGAATCAATTCTGCACGATAAGGAAAGAAAGATGAGAGATTATCCTAAATGCCCTGTAGCCTCTTGAAGATAAGTATGGATGTCATCATACCAATCCGCAAGACTCTACTAGACACTTGCTCATGACTTGTAGAACCTATGAACCTAGAGCTCTGATACCAAGTTGTCACGACCCAAAATCCAACTAGCTGTGATGGCACCTAACCTCAACTGTTAGGTAAGCCAAATAATAATAATCCGATTCAATTAATACTTAACTGACTCTAATACACTCCCCAAGGACTGGTAGTACAAATCATGAGCTTTTAAGATTAGAATTTACAAAGCTGGTTGTGAAATAAAAATATGTCATCTGTTTGAAATATACATGAACAAATTTAAAGTTCTAAAGCTACCTAGAACAAAAGGCAGTTGTGACTGAAATGCAGGTACATCTCCAGATCAAACTCCAGCAGTACGCATCAACATCAGCATCAGAAATTTGCACACAAGGTGCAGAAGTGTAGTATGAGTACAACCGACCACATGTACTTAATAAGTAACAAACCTAACCTTAGGTTGAAAGTAGTGACGATCTTGTACCAAGGTCGGAGTCCACACCAATAACCAATAACATCTCATAACAATACAATTTAAAGCAGCACTTGTAATACCTCAATAATAACATGCTCAGCTCGTATATAGTTCTGGAAAATAATTTTCTTTTCAAGTATAACAGTAAAACTCAAATATTTTGCCGAAAGTCACCGAAAATAAGAGTAAGTCTGAAATATGTGATTTTTCTCAAAAACTGTAACGGCAGGTAAGAAGTCTCATTATCAGATGGCATGAGGAAAAATACTTCTCTATGCCCACATATCAAATATACATGTCTAATGCAATGCAACACAATGATGAACTCATGTACCTCATGTACTCACACTCTCAGAGTACTCAATCTCACTATCTCGCATTTCCACTCCAGTCACTCAGTACTGTATATGGACAATCCAGCCCAGGGGTATAAATGATACAAACAAGATCCATGTCCAGGGAAGATCCATCTTCCATCCCTCAATATGAATGATTCGGGCAAGATCCATGACAGGGGAAGATCCATCCCCAAATATAAATGATTCGGATAAGATCCATGTACAGGGAAGATCCATCCCTCAATATGAATGATTCGGGCAAGATCCATGCCCATGGGAAGATCCATCCCTAAATATAAATGATTCGGACAAGATCCATGTCCAGGAAAGATCCATCCCTTAATATAAAATCAACCGCGCTCACTATGGGGGGTGCAGACTCCGGAGGGGCTCCTTCAGCCCAAGCGCTATAATAGCCAGATCCAGGCATAAATAAATAAAATATGTTGCGGCATGCATCCCGATCCCATAAATATCACTCACAATCAGGCCCTTGGCCTCACTCAGTCATCAATCTCTCCAGTCTCTCGAGCTCAGAATGTCATGAAACTAGCCCAAAATGATGATATGACGTATCTATAAATAACAACAAAGACTGAGATATGATATGCAATGAATGAACATGATTGAGTACGAAATTTCAATTTAAACATATAATTCGACATCAGCTCAGTGGGTCACAATAACACCAACATTTGCCTAAGCATGATTTCTAACATGAGTCACGCCTCAATTTCTCTAACACATAAAAATACAAGTTAATTGACTATACAGCTCTACGGAATCGACTGAGTCTCAATTTCTACGGTGCACGCTCACACGCCCGTCACCTAGCATGTGCGTCACCTCCAAACAAATCACATAACACGTATAATCAGGGTTTATACCCCCAGCTCCAAGTTTAAAAATGTTACTTACCTCAAAACACGTTAACTCAATCCACTGGTAAGCCTTTTCTGCGATTATCCAACTCCGAATGGCTCGGATCCAGATGAATATTTGTTTGAACATCCCCCCGCAAAAATCGCTACAAACCGAGCTTTCTTGATTCAGATCTTGAGTGATATTAAAACCTCCAACTACTCTTACCACTTCAATCTACATCAACATAATTTAATTTTACCAATATTAGTAAAATTTCCAGGTTTTAGGTCATTTAGGCATTTTATCAAAAATCTAGAGTGCATAAATCTCTACATCTCTTAACCATGGAATTAGTTCATCCAACTACCACTATTTACCAACAATTTGTAACTTCCAATCCTCACATGTGTGACCATTCATCCATATCCAACCAACAAAATTACATCAATTAATCACCTTTCAATCTCTACCATAGTTATGTATTTAAATTGGAAATTTATGGCCTCCAATCACCATACCATGAGTTCCAATACTCAATTCATACTCATCTTCCTATAATAAATATGTACATGTAAGTCTAAGGGTGTATGATTACCTTTTTGGAAGAAATCTTGCAAAACCCTCCTTTGAATTCTTGAAGAAATTTCTTGAAGATCTAAGTATTTTATGTGTAGATTTCATCAATACTAGTGTAAAAATGATGGAATTTCATACTAAGATAATGGGGATTGCTTACCTTGAAGAAAAGAGGAGTTGGTAGTCTTGAGTGAGTGGAGAAGAGCTCCAAAATCCGTCCAAGTGAAGTGGGGAAAATGAACCCCGAAATTGTATCTATAGGCCTAGATTTCTAGGTTTCGGATGCTGCCCCGGATGCTATGGCAGCACTTCACTGCCAGCCCTTCTTTCGGACGCGGCCCCGGATGCTTCGCATCCGCAGTTCACTCCTCCGCGAGCCTTTGGAAATTTGGTCATAACTTCTTGTAGAAATGTCCAAATGACGAACGGTTTGAAGCGTTAGATACTAGACTCGAAGATCTTTCATTTGATACGTTGTCCATCACATAACTCCTTATAAATATGTAGATATTCTTGTCCAAAATTAGGTCTTATGCCGAAACCTTCTAGAAATATCCAAATGAAATCCGGGCATACGCCTGAGTCCAAAATCACCATCCGGACTTAATGGAACCCTCAAAACTTCGTTCCGAGGTCAAATACTAAAAGTCAAACTTGGTCAACCATTTTTCATTTAAGCTTCCAACATGAAATTCATTCTTCCGAACTAATCTCAAAACACCTGAAAATCAACACCGACAATTCACACACGTCATAATACATCATATGGAGCTATTTAAGACTTCAAATAGTTGAAAGGAGCGTAAATGTTCAAAACGACAAGTTGAGTCGTTACATGAGGTAAATCTTCTAACATTTATTTTGTTCTCGGAGTTTTGTGATAATAAACGTCTTTTAAGATTTTTGTAGTGCCAAAAGTTCTTGTGATTTTTACGCAGTGATCAAGCTACCAATTCAAGTCTATAATTATATTCAATGATGTTCTCATTTGTTGAATTGTTCAACAATCATAATTTTTCAGAAACTCATATTTTTTCCTTACACGTATTTTATAACTCAAATGTAATTAGTTATATAGTATTTATGTAATTTTTTAAAAAAAATGTATTTATTGAGACGGGATACACGCGCAACGCTCGTACCGTAAGACTAGTCACTAAAAAACAGACGAAACACTATTTGTTTTGTTTAAAGGAATTGCCATCTTAAAAACAACCTGTTATAAGCACATAACCAAAAAAGTAGTGCAGTAGACCACATCAAGAGCCTCAAACAAATACTAGAAGAACCAAGCATGCAAATAGATTAAGCCCTTGATTCATTTATTTATTGTCATCATCATCTAGTAATATCCTCATATGTAAGCATTTACACGGTTCAGCACGTTCCTATGCTCACTTGCAACAGCACGAACAACATCTCCAGCGGACAGCTCATACCAGTCTGATCAACAAAATAAAGGGAACCCAATTATTTTTGTTCAAAAAGGAAACCTTTTTGATAAGAAAAATTATGGTATTCAATAAGTAAGGTTCAAAAAGGAAACCTTACTAGTTAATGTAATTAGGAACCTTAACAAGATCATTTCTGACTATGTTGGAACTTGTCTTATAAGATCATTCAAACAAGTAAAAGAACCACAAAATGCTCTTGAGTATATGCCAATATTAATCACTAAAAAAACAGACGAAACACCATTTGTTTTGTTTCAAGGAATTGTTGTCTTAAAAACAGCCTGTTATAAGCACATGTAACTAGAAAAGTAGTCCACGTCAAGAGGCGCAAACAAATACTAGAAGAACCAAGCATGCAAATATATACAAGATCAAGCGTTTGATTCATTTATTTATTAGCATCATCATCTAGTAACCTCCTCATAAGTCATATGTAAGCATTTACACGGTTCAACCTGTTCCTATGCTCACTTGCTACAGCACAGACAACATCTCAAGCGGACACCTCATACACCTCTAATCAACAACAGGAATGTGCCTGATGCGGTTATCAACAACTTATTGTTCCATTAAACAGAGCAAACATAGATTTGTTTTTGAGTATGACCCCTTTCGCTGAACCCATTCATGGTGATTGCATACATGACTCCATCGGGCTCACAATTTTTCTCCCTCACCAACTTTTTGAACAGTTCAACTGCATCGTTGACCTTATTTTCAGCAAAAAAATCCCTTATTAGGATGTAAAAGGTGAGGTGACAACATTAAATGATGCCATTCTTCAAGTAAATGGGTAACACAGAAAATCTACAATAACACAATGCATCAGGCAATAACTGTTAATCAAGATATTCAGGATGACTCCGTTAATTGGGATACCCAATTTCTGCATTTTTCCAACAAGAGAAACGACAACAGAGTAATGCTTCATATTTATCACTAGCTTACAAATATTCTCCCTCACCAACTTTTTGAACAATTCAACTGCCTCTTTGACCTTGTTTTCAGCAAAGATTCCCATAACAGGGTGCTAAAAGTTACAACATCAAATGCAATGTTATTCTTCAATTAAATTGGTAACATCGAATATTCACAATCAGCACGATGCATCAGACAATGACTGTTAATTATGCTATTCAAGATGACTCAATCAAATGGGATACCCAATTTCTGCATTTTTCCAAAAAGAAAAGCGACAGCTGAGTAATGCTTCATATTTAGCAGTCTTAAATAATTTAGAGAAGCCGACAACAGAAGGAAGAGGTTGTGTTCTAACCATTTTATGAAAGAGAGTCACAGCATCATCTAAACACTTGACATTCTAAGACTTACTACTACTATGGCATGAAGAATAAGCACTGATTGTAAATGCCAAACCAGAATAGAAAGTAGCAAAGAAAGAGATAAACTGAATACCACTGCAAGAGTAACGCAAAGAAATTTTCTTCATCTTCGATGGCCTAATTTCTGTGGATGTGAGCGCTGCTCTATCTCGGTGTGCCCTAATTTTGCACAATTTTTGTTTGTTACGCAGGAGCAGAGGGAGCAAATAGTGGGTTATCAGTTAGAGCCTGTTTGGCTTAGCGGATTTAAGTGTTGAAGCTGATTTAATAACTAAGCAGTTACATGTTTGGATAAAAGTGTTAGAACTGATAATAAACCGTTAATAAACACCTTTTTCGGTTAAAATAACATAACTGCCCTTAATGTTGTTGACACTAATAAAGACGCAATTTTTACAAGGTTTTAAATTCTAAGTTGACTCAAATGCAAAATAATTTACGTCTCACTTATTTTTAATACAAATTGATTAGAATAAATTATTTTTGATAAATATCAATTATTTTATGATAAGCTAAAATATAATCATAAGCTATAATATAAAAGTTAATAATTTGATTAAAGTTTGTTGGAAAAAAATATACTTAAATAATACAGAAAATGATGGAATAATACATAAGAAACAAACATTTAATAGAATTTTCTTTGTTGCTAATTAATAAAAAAAATTAACTATCTAAACTGGAATTCAAATAAGTAAAAGAAACATCGTTGATGTGTTGGATCCAAAAAGATGGGCCTTGATACCTAGTTATTCAAAGAAATCTATCACATTGTAAGAACGTTCCAAGGAGTCATTTTATGCTCTTAGCTAAAAAAGTTAGAATTGTGTCAAAATAAGTTGTCTGCCCCAAAATATAAAATCGATAAAGATGAAGACTGAGATGTTCTTAATGGTGGTGGCCGATGATGTTGCTGGGTTTTGGAAAAATATTGTGTAACGAGTGAGGGAGCGAAGTCATGGAGAGGGTTAGGGGTTTATTTCAACAAGGGTATTTAGAGAATTGTGAAATACTTGTTCACTCATTATGGTGCAAACACATACCCGGATCAGCCTGGTTCTTCCCATGTTCCGGGTTCGGGGCCTGCTCCCCACCCCCACCATTCTCTTGTCGTAGAAGAAGAGCAGAAGAACAATAAAGATGCTGATGCCAAATTGGAAATATTTAAGAAACTTATGGGGTAAATTCTCAGAGCAATTTCACATTGAACTCGGAGATGCCAAATTGGATAGGGAACAGACCACTCGAGTAGTTTCCCAAGATTTTCAGCTTTGCAACTAATCATCACGCAACAGAAGAAGTGCATTAGTCTCCACAAGGATGGAACATACCTTTGAAAAGAAGGTGTAATGACTGTGAAATGGAGGAAATGACCCAATTTTTGCAAGTGAATGAAGGATGTCAAGGGCTGCAAGCAGAACCAGATGTATAACTCATTTACTTTTTTGGTGTAAGAACAAAAAATGTACAGGAAGCTGAGAGGATGATAGATTTTCTAAGTTCATCTCACGTGCAACAAATGAATTGAATTTTATATTTTGTAACTGCACGTCCTAAGCAACCCTTGGGTGCTACAACAACAACAACCCAGTAAAATCCCATAAGTGGGGTCTGGGGAGGGTAGTGTGTATGCAGACCTTACCCCTACCTCCGCGGAGTAGAGAGGCTGTTTGCTTGGGTGCTACAAATAATAAAATTCTTATATAAGGCCACTTGGTGGACTGCCACATTTAAATAATTCTTAACATGTTGCAAAGTATTTAAACTTATCTTGTTGTGTCCGAAGCAAATACACTAAAAAAAAAAGGCTAGAGGTTTTAAAAATGAAGCAAAAAATAGCACCTTTTAACAGTTGCATCGCTTTCAGAACTTCAATTTTTGGCGTGAGTGTGACCGTGATAAGCTTGTTCTGCAAAGCACACGTAAAATAATTTGATATCATGTAATAATATGTCTCGCAATCTAACTACAAATCTAGCTTCTAGAATAGCTTTGACAGGAAGCACATTTCCGTGCTGCAAATTTCTTTTATGACAAGAAGAGCCTTGAAGTTTACCAGCACATCCCCAACTTTCGTTGCATGGATGATCTTCCCTGTAATATGGTTTTCCAGGGATCTTCTGGTTCAAGAGAGTTAATGAGAGAGAGGAGGCAAAAAAGAAAGAGAACAAAGCCATTTGTGTTGGCATCTAGTAAATCATCTTCCAAATACTAGACAGTAGAAAATGGAGATTCAAAACTTTTAAGCCTGGCAAATTGCCTGTATTGTCAGATGAAAATTCATAAGCTTTTAAGTGTACTGTAATAAGTTAATCTGACAATTGACATTCAAATTTCTAGAGACGAGGTTAATTTTGTGACGATTCATAATCACATTGAAACAAAAAAACATAGAAGATAATAGATATATGTTGCTATCCAATAGTGTCCACAGGATTCAATATTCCATAGACAACTAAATATAACGACAAATATGACGAGGCTACGGGTGGAGACATGATCATGGAAAGCGCTACTGCGTCTATCTCACTTTTAAGTTACTAGCGCTATAACACAGTGCTGAAGTATAAGATAAGACTTGTCCCTCACAATTCTTAAAATATAAAGCAGAGTATAAACTAAAAAGCTAAAATCCATAATCTAAAATAAGAAACAAACATTTACAGTAGAGAATTGCAAACAAATGTCTATGCCTTCAAAAGAAATCCCTTCCCTCCATCCTCTAAGTTAGTTGACAATTACGATATGGAGTACGGGGTTAACAGTCAATTTCTGAACAAGTTCTATTTCAGTTTCAGGAATGTCACAAATATTCCTACTATTATGACACACGGTTGATCTTGTCAGCTGTGTGTTCCAATTAGTTGATATTACCAAGACTCTAGAAACTACAGAAAAAATTGTAACTATAGCAAGTTCTAAGTTGCAGGCAGTTATTTATATTCAAATAGTAGAAAATGATAATACATGAAGATAACACTGAAAGTGATATTCCTAGACTTATAATGTGTACATACATATAAGGGAAACTCACATTATTTATTAAACAAACAGAGCAGTAATATCTGATTTCCAAGATAAAGAAGAGTGGAAAACAATAAAAATATCAAAATTGATGTACCTCGTCAATAGGCCTGCCTGGAAAGCTCAAGCAACGTTCTAATTGTCTTTTATCAGCTTCTGCAATTGCATTGGATGACATACCTTTGCAGGGATAAACGGAAGCTGTATCATAGTGATACTATAGGCGAATAAAACAAGCAAAATAAATATTCAATGCTTATTTTCCAAGTGAAGCTCTGGTATCATGTCAAGGACGGATGGATTCTCCCTTATAACGTTTATCAATAACTCAGTTGTAGTTGCATCAAATGAGAAGCCCCTTCCAGCCATTTCCTTCATAAGAATTGCCATTTCACTAATTCTATTGCACCTGAGAAATCCTTGAACAATAACATTGTAAGTGATACCATTGGGCAAACAATTGTTGTCCTCCATTTTTCTTAGCATATCTTTAGCTTCACCTAACAACCCTTCTAGACAGAATTTATTAATCATTATAGTGTATGTTCTCACATTCGGAAGTAGTCCAATTAAAGAAAGCGCTTCAAAAATAGCATGAGCTTTGTCAAGTTTACCATTTTTGCACAATCCATTAATGACAACATTGTAAAATTCAATATCAGCATTTTCTCTCTTTCTTTCCAACTCATTAAAGAGTGACACACCTTCTTCAACAAGTCCATACTTAAAATAACCCTTGAGTAAAGTGCAATGAGTGTATAAATCAGGTACATGTCCTATAGATAGCATCTCAGCAAAGAACTTTTTTGCATCGCCAATTCTTCCAACTTCAAACAGACCTTGCAATATCGTATTGAAGGTAACAATATCAGGCTTTGATCCCCTTCGAGAAATTTCACGAAACAACTGCATGGCCTCATCCAACTTCTTTTTCTTACAATATCCATTTATTAGTATGTTATAGCTAATAATGCCAGGCTCAATGCACTTATCTATCATGAAATCGAAAATTCTCCTCGCTCTATCCATTTGACCACGCAAACAATATCCATCCATTATCACATTGTAAGTTAATATATCAGGCTCTACACTTTTTTCGTTCATATGTCTCATTACTTCCTCGGCATCTTCGACTTTCCCTTCTTTACACAGTCCATCAATCACCATACTGAAGGTGTAGACATCTGGATAAATATTAAGGTTTAACATCTCAGAGAATAAAGTCCTAACCTTTTCCCACTGACCAAACTTACACAAACCATCAATCAATGAATTAAATGTGAATATGTCCGGACAAATGCCTTTCTTATTCATCTCGTTCAAAAGGCTGATAGCATCATCTAAGTTTCTATCTTTGCAAAGGGAATCTATGACAATGTTGTAGTTAAATATGTCGGGCTTAGTGTTCCCTTGTTCCATTAACCGGAGCAAACTAACAGTTTTTTCAGTATGACCCCTTTTGCTGAGCCCACTCATGACGGTTGCATACATGACTTCATTAGGCTCACAAATCTTCTCTCTCACCAACTTTTTGAACAAGTTAACTGCATCTTTGACCTTATTTTCAACAAAGATTCCCCTAATTAGGGTGGTAAAGGTGACAACATCAAACGGAATGCCTTTCTTCAAGTAAATGGCTAACACCGAAAATGCACAATCAACACGATGCATCAAGCAATAACTGTTAATCACGATACTCAAGATGAAATCATTAATTGGGATACCCAATTTCTGCATTTCTCGAAAAAGAGAAACAACAGCAGAGTAATGCTTCATACTTAGCATAGTCTTAAATAATTTAGAGAAATCGAAAACAGAAGGAAGAGGCTGCTTTCTGACCATTTGACGGAAGAGAGTCACAGCGTCATCTAAACACTTGACATTCTCAAGCTTGCTATTTACCCCAAATTTACCCTTTGCCGAAATGGACATATTACTATGACTTGAAGAATAAACTCTAACAGTAGTTGACGAAGAAGAACGGGAAATAGCAAAGTAAGAGAGAAAGGGAATACCATTGCGAGAAATTCTACTCATCTTCAGCTAACGAATCTCTATCAATGAACTTTCCACCAGCGGATGCGAAAGTCATGTCTATTTCGGTGTGCCCTAATTTTTTGCTGAGTTACTCGGAGCTCCATTGTAGTTTTTTCATTTCTTTTCAAAGTTTTAGCTTAAATACTCCCAAAACTACATTTTAGAGCTTATTTTGAAAAGTGCCAATAAAAAACTTTATTTTAAAAAGTGTTTTTGCTCAAAATTGCTTTTCGAAAAATATTTTTAGAGAGTTACAGTTTGTATTTGATCTATTCATTTGATAAGCGCTTTTTGAAATATTTGATAAGTAAATTATATTTAACCAATCTTTTCAAAATATAATTTTGAGTGTCAAATTACTAAAAAGGACAGTAAATGTTTACAGTTTGTATTATTTAAAAGAGAGAAATAAATTTAAATATTTATTGTAAAAAATTTCCATTAATTTATTATTTTTATTTAATTAAAATATAAAAAAATTGTAATCAATATAAAATATAATTATCTAAATCAATAATATTAGGTTTTCAGTATTGCTTATTGTTTACATGATGATTCAAATATATTATAACACTATCGTTCAGTATAAAGTAAAAATTTACTTCATAAATCCTATATAAAAGAAGAAATCTATTTATATTACAGAACGATGAAAATAAAATAAATAAAAAAGAAGAAAAGGATGGTAGAAACAAAAAAAGAAAAAAAAAGATAATTAATGAAAGATAGTTAAAAATATATAAATTTATACTAACGATACTTTTATCTTAAAAAAATATTTTTTTATTTTTTAGAAGAAGATGGAATTTGAAGCTTCTTTTTAAACGCAGAAAAACTACTTCTGCTGCTACTCTAAATCACTTTCACGTCTTGGCCAAACAAATCAAATTTTTAAAAAAGTACTTTTTCTGATAAAAAAAAGTACGTTTGGCCTCCTAGAAGCTTGGCCAAACATACTCTTAGATGCTTTGAGTCAATATCTATGTATGTCGTAATTTCCATTATTCTGTAGTATCTTCTTTTTTCTTTTTTCAAAAAAAAAAGTATACTTCTTGGGTAAAAAAATATCAAAATAATGCAAGATAATCACAATGGATAAACACCTATCAAGATTAAGAAAACACAATAGATATACCAATTTATTAAGAAAGAGTTATTAAATCCAATTTTTGTGGTTTGTGTCCTAAAACGTTAGAGTATAAACACATGAAATATATATTTATTGAAGTGGATTATTTGTAAATATTTTACACTATATGATAAATTATTTTCTTCTTTTTTAACCGACTTACAACCTATGTTGTGCCAGCTTCACACTTGGTAGTTCAAAGTTCACACATATGAAGTTGACTATCAAGCCTAACTTCATACCTAAATGTCTGAAATTTAAATTGCACAAGCAATAAAACTTTATACCCATGAATGAAATTAATTTTGAAGCAGCTAAACTAAAAAATATTTCTAAACTTCGATTGTTTTTAAATAAGGGTCATCCAAGTGATATTTGTGCACTTTTCTCATTGAAAGGTAATTTCACAATGAGATAAAATTTAATTTGATGGATGTATTAAAGAACATAAAATAGAAAACATATAATTGAACCAAAGAAGCTTATAGGAGGAAGGAGCATTTGAATCATTGTAACGACCAACCAGTTGTTTTGAGCATTTGCATTCCGTTTCGATGTTTGAAGTCTTTAGTAGCTCCATATGTGTCACGACCCAAACCGATGGGCCACGACGGGTACCCGGTACCTTACTCAACCGAGTACCAATGTAACGTATCTTTCGTATCATACTATCATAGGTAAATAAGCCGGAGAAGTTGTCGTGAGATAAGCAGAATAACATGAGGAAATACTCGACATTGGACGACCCAACATGTAATACAAACTTATACATATGACATACGGGCCTATAAGACCAAAATGATCACTCGTACATTGAACATAGGCCGACAAGGCCATACAGTCTTTCATGTACATGATATATGTCTACAAGCCTCTAAGAGTAGATAAATACCATAAAGGTCGGGACAGGACCCCGCCATTCTAATCAATACATGTCCAAATCATACTGACCAAATAAGCAACTCCGGAGCAAATAGAGCACACCAACACCTTTCGCTAAGCTGATAGCCTACTTGGAGAACTCTCAACCTGTCTATCGGGACCTGCGGGCATGAAACACAGCATCCCCAGGCAAATGAGATGTCAGTACAAATAATGTAACGAGTATGTAAGGAATGAAAATCAGGAAATAAAATACATGAGAGAAACATGGAGTAATAGACTCAACATGTAAATCTGAATAGCTCTGAATCATTTCATATTTATAATGTCATGCATATGCGTATAAATGTCATATCATGCATAGGTGTATGCGTACATAACATCATCAAGCCTCTGAGGGCATCCCATCATATCATCTCGGCCATTGTGGGCAAATCATCAATGTATACCAGTTGATCAGGTGGTGGTGTGTATATAACGATGTAACCTTTTTTTATATCCCATATACATATTATATACGTGTATATAACGTCATCTGGTCATAGGTCAATGAACATGTATAAATGAATGAAATGCATAAGAAGTACTTTAATAAGATTTCTCGGAATGTCATAAGATCAATATGCCTTTCGGATAACATTATCAACTACATATTTTTCTAAGACCCATGAACAGAAGATATAATAATAAGATATGGGAAATCAAGAATATAGGCACCCCTAGTACTTCTATGAATAGAGTTATTTATGAAAGTTGCATATTTGCCCGTTTTGTTTGTATCGTATGAATCATGCCAAAAAGAAAGAAGGGATAGCCTTAACATACTTGAGCCGATTCTCTTAACAATCCCTCTAACACACGTCTTTTGCGAAAAACACGTAACGACGGATCAGAGTAGGAAAAAATCCGTATGATATTCTTGAGAAAGGTTATACCGGGCTTCCTTAGAATTGCAAAATCCCGTTGCTATGATGCTAAGAAATCTCGTTTGAATTTTGTTGAAGACCTGTTACTTGCAAATTAGATATAAGCACCTCTCTTTGTAAATTAGAGAGGTCTTATACCTTAGTGGGTGTGGGCCCCACTTCATGTGGTGACTTAGCCACGTAACTCTCAAATTTTGCCACCTTACTAAATGAACTTAAAGGTCACTAATTTGGACAGTTTGCTGCCACGTTTGGGCTCGGGGGGGATTAAGCTTATCCAAAATTTATAATTAATTAGCTAATCTCCCACCAAAAAATTATTAATTACCCAATTATCCACATAATGAGAATTATCCCAAATTACTTAAGATACTACTCACTTTTAACATACCTCATACACCTTACTATCATAGTCATGTGGTACCTTGTATGGCACTAGTCCATAAATAACGAGTAATATAGCTCGAACCGTATTTTATCCCAAATTAACAACCTTCAATGAAACTCATTTTTTTTGATTCGTTTACCCTTTAACCTTCACGACACTTACTAATCGCATGTTATAAATAGCATAAATGCTTATAACCTCAAAAATAATCCAATTCCCGAGTTTACGTCGATTAACTTATGACGAAACTTTAACGTACGAGAATGCGGGATGTAACATCTCATTTCCGATCTTTCATCAATTTACTTATGGCGTACTTTCACGTACAAAAATATGGGGTGTAACAGTATGATATATTATGACTTGTCTGTATCGCCAGTTTCAGTTTTCGGGTGATTTAGAATTAGTTTGGAAGAATGATTTTCATGTTTGAAGCCTTAAGTTGGAAGAGTTGACCAAGTTTGACTTTTATATATTTGACCTCGGACCGGAGTTTTGATGGTTCTGTTAGGTCCGTATAGTAATTTTGGACTTGGGCATATGCCCGATTTTGCATTTGGATGTTTCTAGAAGGTTTCGACACTAATTGGCGAAAGTTGAAAATTTGAAGGTTTGGAATATTCATAAGTTTGACCGAGAGTTGACTTTGATGTATCAGGTTCGAACTGTTGTTCCGAGAGTTGGAATAGGTTCGTTATGTCATTTGGAACTTTTATGCAAAATTTGGGTTCATTTCGGATTGGTTAGGCTTGAATGAGATGCTTGGTTTGAAGTTTGAAGTTTATGAACTTAAGAGATTAATCATAATTGACGATTCGTAGTTTTGATTTTGTTATGTGTCATTTGAGGCCTTGAATATGTCCGTGTTATATTTTGGGACTTCTTGGTATGTTCGGACGGGGTTCCGAGGGGTTCGGGTGAGTTTCAGGGTGATTTCAGATCATTTTAGGCCATTTTCAAATGCTGATTTTTGGCTACAGGTGTGTACATCATGACCGTGGAGAATTGGCCGCGATCGCGTAGAGTAAAATGGAAAAATTGAACCTGTGAATCACGTTCGCGGAGGACGATTCACGTTCGGGAAGAAGGAATTATGCTGTCACTGAGCTGACTTTGGAAGCTTATATCTTGCAATCTATAAGGAATTTGGAGATGATCCAAAAACCCTTTGTTTCTAGTTTTTAGAAAATCAAACCGTTTACCATTTGAAATTTTGTAAAAAAAAGGTATGGCCGTTCTACTATAGGCTATTTGGAAAAAGTTTAGGAAGGTAATGGAATTTGTTCATCGTGATCGCGGAGATATGACTACGATCGCGAAGGGTAAAAACTGTGTTGGAAAATTTTGGAATTGCGATCGCAAGGTTTGTGACCGTGATTACGAAGAAGGACCACCGGCAGTGTATTAAAATATCAAATTCGAATTTTTGAGTTCATTTTATCATATTCTGAGCTATGGAGCTCGAATTTGGGGGAATTTGGAGGCGATTTTCAACACATGGATTGGAGTAAGTTTTTTCTACTCGGTTTTGATTATATTTTATGAATATATCTTTGATTTTGACATTTGGATTATGAATTTTAAACAGATATTGGGGGTTTTTGTCTAAACTTTCCTAAAGTGATTTTTTGTATTTTGAACATCGATTCGGAGTCAGATTGGAATAAAATTAGTATGATTGGACTTGCTATTGAATGGATTATGGGATTTTGTGAGTTTTGTAGGGTTTTGAGGTGCGGTCTCGGGTTTGTGTCACGACCCAATTTCTCCT